ATAATCTGCTTCCTCCCGATTAGGTAAGTTTCCACTGCGGGGTGAGAGCTGTTAGGAACCCCAGACACAGAAAACATCAAAGGTAGTGATAGCGCTTCACTGCCAGTCACATTCTGTAGCCTGCTGATCTACACAAAGAAAATAACTCCAAGTGCAAGTCCCCACCTCCATCGGGCTTATCCACAAGCACAGTGCCTGCTCCTTCAGCTGGTCAGAATTTCTCCCTCAACACTCTACTGCAATCTAAGAAAGGAAGACAGACACTCAGAATCTTTCATTTCTCCTGATCTCTAACTGTTACCATGGGGCCATGATCAGAGAACACCTCTTTCTTCTCTAGGACACACCCCTGCAAAATTTCATGGCAGAGATTTATTTTGCACATGGTACTGGCCAATAAAAGGTACTTCAGAGCTGGGCACAGATGGCTGGTGAAAGCACCACAAGAGTTCAGGAGTTCCAGACCAGCCTGGACAATATAGCTAGAACTTTCCTCAAAAACAAGGAAAGAAAAGAAAAGGAAAAGAAAAAGATTCTGAGAATTTCCAGAAAATTCTTAAAAGCATAACTTATAGATGATCTGAATTTTGTGTATAATTCAATACCTGAAGATGGACAAACAGCTGAAGCCAAAGCTGGAAGTATTCACATGGACTCTTTCAAATCTTTACCTGGACTCTGGTACCCTCCAGCACTGAAGCCACAAGCCAATCTGACCAGTTTAAAGAAAAATAACTACTAGTTCCTTGTGCCAGTCCCTGCAATTATCTAATACCAGCTATTTAAAAAAACCTAATGGTTGAGGATGGAGATTTTTTCAAGATCTAGGAATAAAAAAAATCATACTCCCCATTTCATTGGAACACCCAACCTAATTACTGCTTGCTCCTCTTTACCGGAGTAGCATGGCACTCAGGTTTCTTTAGTTCTCATTCCATAATGATGCAAAATTTATTTACATTCACCTGGCCAAAAAAAAAAAAAAAATCAACAATCACCTAGGTTATATCCACCAGGATTCACTGAAATTTCAAGATACTTCTCACAAGTCTTAAACCCAGATGTGTCCATGCAGCCCTGACAGGTTACTGTGGTCCAATATGCGCCTGATCTGTTACACTCTACTGATCTGGAAAACGCTGAGGCTGACTACACTACTTCCTCACTGAGAAAAGGACACCATTTCTAAGAAAAACCTACAGTTCTACAAAATTACAGTTCATTATCTAGACCCTGCTCTATCAACTGAAGGAAGAGCAGTACTTAAGAGAAGATTATAAATTATTCAAGCCCAACCAGTGAAAGACAAGGGAATTCTGTGATTAACTGAATATCATAGATTGCAAGTGCCAAATTTTTCTGAATTAGCAAGACTACTTACATGATTGGACTAAATCACACATGACAAAACCATGAGCATGGAACACAGAAACCAAAACACCTTCAGTAATCTCTACCACCTCCTGTAATACCCCAGATTATTATGAATAGTCTAAAGGTCATGCATATGGCAGCACAGTTGGGGGGGGGCGGTAACTTTGCCTCCAGCGATACCTGCAGACTGTTGGATTGTCACATTTGTGGGTTGCTACTAACCTCTAATGGGTAGAGGCCAGGTATATCACTAAACACCCTACAATGCACAGGGCAGCCCTCACATAATGATAGTGCTGAGGGGAAACACAGCTCAAGTGAAAGACCCACTGCTTATCAGAGCCTATCCTCAATCCAGGAGCCTAGGCCATAGCTGCCTTGTCTCAGAGCAATTGCAGCTCAGCCAACTTCATCCAGGTTTCTGTCCTTATACCAAGATCACCCGTAACATGACAGCACCGCAAGCAGTACAGCCCCGTGGCTAATTGGAAATACCTAACCCTTTTCTTCCAGCCAGCTGACTGATGACCAACTACCGTCCCTGTCTGTTTTACTGGAACACTACGCTAGTGCAGCACCTCACCCACCCCTAGCCCACCTGCCTGAGGACACAGCACCTCGTAGTGGGCCTCCTGGTTCAGTCCAGAGGAGACTGGAGGAAGCTACCACACAAGAGCCTGAGTGCAGCGTGGCTGCGGAGGGCCTTATCCTAGAAGTGCAAAGGACAACACAAGGCTGGCTGTGCTGGGTCAAAGCTACAGTGTCTTCTTCCTCATAGCGTCTCAGGCTGCACTTGTTCTCTCCCTGCTGCTGAAGTGTAAACTACTTCTCTCAGCTATTGCACCCGGAAGATGATTCAACAGATGATCCATAGGCAAAAGCAGGAGGAAACCATGCTGACTATGCTCAAAGTGAAAATCAGCAATCTACAGACCCACCTCACCTCTCAGGAGGTTCAGTGGCAGTGTGGGGAGGACCCAGGCAGCTCCTGACAATCTCTCTGCCATTCAGGCAGCTTAAGAACAAAACAGGTGCTCAAAGAACCAGACAACAATGATAAAGATGCCCACATGCCTGGAAAAAGACCTCCAATTCCAAAGACATGGGGAAAGTAGCCAGCAGGATGCAAGATGGTATAGCTGCTGTGGGAAATAGCCTGGCAGCTCCTCAAAAAGCTGAACACAGTTACCACAGGACCCTGCTGTTCCACTCCCTGATGAATATCTAAGAGCATTGAAAACATATGTCCACATAGAAAACTGTACACAAATGTTCACAGCAGCATTGCTCATAACAGCTAAAAGGTGGGAACAGCCTGAGTGGCTGTTCACTGACTTCACTGCAGACCATCTGATGCTAGAAGATCTAAGGTCCAACTTCAAAACTAAACCCTTCTTCCAAATGCAAACAGAATCACACAATTCTAGGGCCAGGAAAGACCTAATTTATTATCTGGTATCTAAAAGACTCTTCTAAAGATGAAACCAAAGACCACATGTGCAAGAACAAAGAACGGGTCCCTGGCAGAAGCACTGGACATAGGTCTCAGGTCCCGCCCTGTCTTCTGCCCAGCCACCACACTGATTCCCTGTAGCACAGTGTGTGTATGCAGGGGGTGAGGGGTGGCAGAAGGACTGGTGGCCAGGAAATAGATGGTAACTGACACAAAGGGCTCTGCTGGGAACTCTGCAATAAGGAAGGTCCATGGAAGACTAAGCAGAGCCAGTCCTGCTCCCAAATCATCAACAATCAGAAAGTAACATTGTAGCTACGGTGCTTACTGAACATTATTGGAAAACATAAACCAGAATTAAGGGGCAAGGAGCATAATTATGATTTTCAAACCATCCAAAAGCAGAAAAAATAGCTAGAAAAGTAAGTTTCTCACTTACGAGCTAAGCAAGTTACTCTTTATAGGATTTGGGATAAAAATCTACTGTCATGTTTTCATTCTTCACTTGCCTTCTTAGCCGAATTGCAGAAAACAATTAGTTTCCTGTACTGAACAATACCTCAGCTTTACAATGTGCTATCACCTACAAAAGTTCAAGGAAGAGTCACAGTGTAAGCAGCCATTACAACAGGCATTTCTGTTCCACCATACTGTGAGGAAAGCCTAGAGGATTTACAACCTAGGAAGTAGATTAGCTGAGCCTAAGGTCCAGACCCTTTCTGCTACACTGATCTATCATTAAGAACAGTGACTGTGGGGGCTAGGGCACGGCTTGGTGGTAAAACATGTGCCTAGCAAGGGTGAGGCCCTGAATTCAAACCCTAGTACCACCAAAAAAGAAAAAAAAAAAGGACAGTGACTGGGGATGAGTAATAAATTTAATGTCAGTTTTTGCTTAGAATATAGTAAACTAGAAAGAACAACTCCATTCTTCCCCAGAGAGGGGAGGGAGTAATTTATAAAATTACAGCTTTTGTGAGTACAATAGAGAGCTGAGGCTGACTATCAAACAACTAAGAGGCAGGGACCTCCAGAGACATGAGATTAACATGTGAACCTGGGGTCAATGCTAGATGCCATGCAAACCAGTCAGAAAATGCAGCTAAAGTTTACAGAAGCACCCGATCAGTGGTTGGTGGGACTAATGGTGGGTGGAATAGCTAATTATAACAGGAAAAGTGGGGAGGAACTGGAGCTCCATGAAACAAACATGTATCCCCAGGTGCCAGGCTCATGCCTGTAATCCTAGCTACTCAGGAGGCAGACATCAGAAGTATCTAGGTTCAAAGGCAGTCAGGGAAAACAGTTCTCAAGAAACCCTATCTTGAAAATACCCAACATAAAAAAGGGCTGGCAATAGGCTCAAGTGGTAAAGTGCCTGTCTACCAAGCATAGAGCTGAGTTTAAACCCCAGTACTACCAAGACTTTAGGAACTGCAAAAAGGTGTGAAGAATGAGTACTGTTTGTAAATTTAAGAAGGACTGTTGTTTTAGAAGAGGACCTATCAGACTGCTGACCTGTAGTCTCATGGTGCTGCCTGTTCCCATAGAACAGTGGTGGTATTTGACACACACAATCCCCCATGGCCTCTGTGAAGCACCACCAGAGTATAAAAGCTTCTTTGTCAAACTTATTAACACACAAATGTTAAGTATCTACTTTCCAACTCTTTCTGAGAACTCACATATAAGCCACCACAAGAGAAAAACAAAACCAAGTGGAACTTCAAAGCTGGCCAACAGGCTGGGAAGGGGAAGGGAAAAGATAGTTACTAAAGAAACAACTTAAGTTTTTGAAATCATTTAAAACAAGAGCTCAGGTTTAGCTTAGTTTAAGGCTTTTATTTAGTTAGACACTATTAAAGTGACGATGACTCCAAATAACAAGTAGCTAAATTTAGTCTTGTTTTTTAACTTCTGTTAATGTCTGTAAATAAACAGAGCAAGCAAACTAACCTGCATTTCCTTTAGATGAGTCGTTCTTAATAACTGATATTTATCACAATCCCCTGAGGTAATTTTCCCAAATACACACACCTGGTACCTATGGAGTCAGTCTCTCCAGGTGAGGCTCAGCAGGGTTACCTGAAAACATTCCTTAGAGATGATTACACACCCCTAACTATCATTACTGATCCATGTAACAATCACTACATTGAAAAGAATCACTTACTTGTTACAATTCCAGCCAATGCAAATACAAACTGATTTTCATCCGAATCCAGCTCTTTGACTTCCCCATCCAGTGACTTCACAAAACTCTCTATCGTCTGACCGATGATGTTGAAAAACTTCAGAGCTTTGTCCTGAAAATTTGGAAATATGTCATGCAGTTTCACAGATACCACTTAAAAACATTTTAAAAGTGCAGGATATAGGAGAGATATTTTGGATTTAATTATAGAAGAAATATTTTGACATCTCCTCCCCCATTAAAAGTTCCCAATTAAAGATCAGAAAATAGCTCAGGGCACAAAGGATCAAGAAAAATTATGCTGATAGTGGACATATGTTAGAAAAATATATTGTCTGTGCTACACGCTTCCAAAGTTTCAGAACTTTCTTCAAGAAAAGCATAACTGAAGCCTCGGCATGTAAAAGAGATGGACACAGTAAACAGGCTCCTCTGGAAGTTTAAACTCTTATTACTTGGCAAAAACAACAACAAAACCTTTTCCATCTCTGCACAGCTTCCTTGGAGGTGCCAGCAATCTGAAAAATAATTTTAAAACCAAGGCACATTTCAGCATAGTAAAAAAAAAATTGGAAGAAGAAAAGCATGCATTTACAGTTAGTACAAGGTAACCTCCTGGTGACAGAAATACTCCAAGACTGGGTTGTAGTGATGGTTCACAACTCTGGAAGTTTGCTACACCATTGACCTGCACTGCACATGTACAATGGGTGAGTTTTACAGTATGGAAAATTATATCTTAATAAAGCTCAACAAACTTTCTACCTTAATTCAAACACAGCCACTTCTGTAAGCAATAAGGAATGATCACTGGCTTCCTGCCAAATATCCCCTCTTCCTTCATATTCGCTTCACACACCATTCTCCCACGGTCAAACCCTAATTTTCTATGACACCTCTCTTCCCTTGTCAATTGTACCCTGACACATCTGTCCCTGTGACCAGGGCTCTCATGTGCATCCTTCCTCCCCATTTCCCCTGCCAAGAAGACAGAGTGCTGAAGAGTCTTCTATCTAGTCCCAAAGCCCCACGAGCCCACCTTTTGATGCCTCCTCACTCACTGTCAGGCTTATTTTCCTAAAATTCTGCCCTTGTCTTATCATTCATTTACTAAAAAAAGAAAACACTTCCAGAATCTAGTCTTCCCACTATAAGATAAAATAATCAACCTGGTGTCTTAGGTCACAAAATCACATTCCAACCATCTTGTAAGTCTATCTCCCAGCACTTTAATCAACCTGGTGCCTCAGATCACAAATCACATTCCAACCATCTCATACGCCCATCTCCCACTACTTTAGTGCATGAGCCCTCCACTCTATCGCTGGTCTCCCACTATCCTGAAACAGACAGACTTCTCAGCCTAGGCCTTTGATTAGAATGGCTCTGTCCTCTTGAGCTGTCCTTCCCATTTTCTGCTATTTCAAGGCCCATTTCAAATCCCTCCCCTCTGGAAAGTTTTCCAATATATATATGTAGATACAGACACACATGTTAACATAAAATACTCAAAAACTTAAGTATTACATTACCCATGAGATGAAATACATAAAAGCACTTTAAACCTTCTTAAACTCTTTACATATAAAGTAGTTACATTGATGTGATTAATATACCCACAAATACCCATGGGTGCTGGGAGAGAAAGGATCATATCTCATTCATTTTACATATCCTGAGAGCACCAGGTTACAAGGTGAACACAGTACACATTTGACGACTGTCTGAACTAAAAGCAAGACCTGGTCCAGTCTCTAAATGTCTTAGCAGGCATGCTGTCACCTCCAAGCTACACAAACACATTGAACGGTATCCAGACAGCTTCTGGTCATGCTTACTCCTCCCAGGATGGCTTTGACGACTTCCTCGCTGCTAGAGACACCCCACAGGAGAGTGCAGGTGGCCGCTCCCATTTCTGTACAATACTCTGCCTGTTGCAGAAGCTGCTGTTTTGCTTCATTCAGTTGCTGTCGAAGAGCTAGCTTCTCCTAAATTCACAACAAGACAAAATCAGGAAAACAGACAATGCATTCAACCTCAAAATATCTCTATTAGGCTTTCTCCTTCACAAATATTTATTAAATGAAAGAAATGCATGCAGAATTACAAAAAACAGCTGCAAATGAAAACTAGTTCTTAAGACAGCCATAATCTGCACCTAAAAACTAAACTCCAGAGTCTTAAAAAAGAACATATTGCTGCATCACAGTTCTGGAGAACCCCAAAGAGTTTAATTCATCTGCATAAGTGAAGTGAAAACAGGAGTTATCTCAAATCCCAAGCAACCACGTCCAGAACAGCACAAACTGGGCCACCTAAGCAAGGCAGCAAACTATCATGCAGTGCACACACAGCAGCATTTCTAGCAAGGGAGGAGCCTGACACCTCCAAATGGATCACCTCATTGTCAGGACACTCTGCCAGAGGCAGACTCTGAATAATAGGCACAGACACCTGGTGGGTAAACACATCTGCACACACTCATGAGAATACTGTCAAGTTGCTGGAAAATGAGAATCATATGCCTGTGAAACTAAACCAGGAACAAAAGCCAGGGCTCAGGGGCAAGAGGGCTGTGAAGATGGGCATTCTAAGCATGCACTGGCACAGTGCCAACATAACAAGCACTGAGGCCAGGGGAGGTTTCTTACCCACCCCCAGCAGCATCTGAGAACACCTCAAGTTGGGCAAGTCTCCACCAGACTCTCTTTAGGGGAAGACAGGGAACTGCTGTCCTGTTGGCCCCTGACCACATGAGCCTGGCTCAGGTTTATTTTCAAATGGGCCTGGAGCAATGCAAGGCTTCCTACCCTCCTGAACCACCAGTTCCACCCTGCTCTGACATTTCTAGAAAGTAGACACCATTTTCTGACTTAAGAAATAAACTGGGGATCTGGCTCAATTGGTAGAGTGCCTGCATAACAAGCAAAAGGCCCTGAGACCAAACCATGCATGTGTGTATATATACATATATGTGTGTGTATACATACATACATACACACACACACAAACACACACACACAACTAACTAACTAGCTGGCTACTACCCAGAATGTGTGAGGCCCTGGTTTCCATCCCCAATGGAAAAAAAGAGAGAGAGAAAGAAACTGAAAAATACGAAAACACAGTTAAACTCATTTACAACAAATATAAACTAAATAAACAAATACAGTTAAATAAATCACAAATTTAAAGTGCATTACACATTTCAGCTTCCTCTTTTAAAAGAGAGAGGGCTTTCTGCCTGAGAAGAAAAGAAAGCCTTAGAGCCATGAATCAAATGGCTTATAACCTGGAGGACATTCATACTTGAACACTATGAATTTGGAACACAGAGCTTCATTCACATTCTAACATAAATACACTTATTTCAGTAGAAAATTGGTCATTGAGCCCATGATGCATGCTAGTTTTTCATGTCTGACTTAAACATAAAGCAGTCTGGATTCCTAGACTAGCCCTTCTGGTATACATAGCTGAACTCACTCAAGTCATGGAGACACATGCAAAAAGTCTATCACAGCATTTCTTTTTGGAATTCTAGCTTTACTCACAATTAAAGCAATCTGTATTCCAATTAGTCTGGTTATGGTAGTTCTTCTGCAAGACCCTAAAAGAACTACTAAGAATGACCAGGCAGAGCTGGATTCGGTAGTGGGTGCAGGTGTAATCCTAACTACTTGGGAGGCTGAAGTCAGGAGGATCACCACTCAAGGCCAGCCTGGGCAAAAATATGTTCGGAAGACCCCACCTCCACAGAAAAATCTGGGAATGGTGACATGCGCCTGTCATCCCAGCTATGTGGGAAGTATAAAATAGGAGGACTGAGGTCCAGGCTGGCCTGGGCAAAAAACAAGACCCTAGCTCAAAAATTACCAAAACAAAAAGGGCTGGAGGTGTGGCTTGAGTAGTAGAGCATCTGACTAGCAAACATAAAGCTCTGAGTTCAAACCCCAATACAGAAAAAAAAATGAGCAGACAGGACTGATTCCCTGTGGTCACACCTGGCAGCTAGCTGCAGAACGCTACGCCCCAGCACAGGGCTGCACACAGCACAGAGCAGCAAAAGAAGCTCAAGATCAAAAGACTGGGAAAAGGAGCACAAGACCCATGCAGTAAAGGCCACAAAGCCTGTGTGAGGCCCAATTAAACAGCCAAATGAGACCCAGCTACTCAGGAGGCTGAGGCAGGAAGGTTGCATGTTAGAGGCCAGCCTGGCTACACAGTGATGCCTTGTCTCAAAAAAAAAAAAAAAAACAGCAAACAGGACTGAGATCATTATACAAATGTATAAATTTACTAAAACTTATCAGACTTTACATTTTATGAGAAGAGAATCTGGCAGTATGCAAAACATACCTTAGTAAAGATGTTTCAAAGAAGCAATAATCAAACAGTGATATATTTTCTTAAAGTAAATATTCATGCAGAGTATCAAGCACAGAGCTTTCAAAACTTTAACTTAAATATACCATCAGTTCATGTCTCTTTTTAAAAAGTTTCTTAAAACATTACAAGTTGTTTGCAACAACTTCCCTTTTATTATCATGAAAGTTGCAATTCCTTACTAAGAAATTTAAAATATAGAAAATAAAAATACAGCTAACAAAAAATTGGGGCTGAAGTATGGCTCAAGTGGTAGAGCACCTGCTTTACAAGCACGAAGTCCTGAGTTCAAACCCCAGACCTACCAAAAAAAAAAAAAAAGATTAAAAAATGGCATTCTCTATCCCAGTGGGTTTGCTGTGAAAGATGCATGCCACCAGAAAAGAGCACGTGGAGAGGAAGAAATGCCAATGAGCACTGAGATGACTGTTCCTCAGAGAGAGAGTGGGAAACCTGTCATCATTTCACACAACAAAGGCTAGGTGTAATGATTAATCTTAATTGCCAACTTGACTGGACTGAGAAGAAAATTAGTACAACTCACCTCTGGTTGTGTCTGTGAGGGTGTTTCCAGACAGGATTAAGTAAGGGGAAAAGATTCGCCCTGTATGTGGGGAGCACATCCCCACAAGCTGGAGGCAGGGATGGAATAAAGGGGGAAAGGAAGGAAGCTCACAATGCTCTCAATAGCAGCTTCCTGGTTGCTATGAGGTGAACAGCCTCCTCCTCCACACATTCCCACCACCAAGATGTTCAGCCTCACCTCAAGCTCCAAGTAGTGGAGCCAGCCAACCATGAACTGATACCTCTGAAACCACGAGCCAAAATAAATCCTTCTTCCCTTGTTTATGTCAGATATTTTGTCACAGTGATGAAAGTCTGACTAACATATCCTATCAGTGCTTTAATCCATTAGTGGATTCAAAATTTGAACAAACTATTGGGAGGTGGTGAAGTATGGGAGACAGGGCCCAATTGGAGAAAGTAGATTTCTAGGATATACCTCTGAAGGGTGCATCGCAGCCCTGGCCCCTTCCTGTTGCTGCTCTCTGCCTCCAGTCACCATGAGGAGAGCAACTTTGCTCTACCACATGCTCCACACTCCACATCATGATGTTGTGCCTCACCAAGGGCCCTGAAACAGTGGAGCTAAGTGACCGTGCACTAAAACCTATGAAACTATAGCCAAAATGAATCATTCTTCCTTTAAACTCTTCCTCTCAGGTACATGTCACAGCAACAAAAGTCTAACACATAAAACTGGTACTGGAGAGGGGCCACTGCTGTGACTAAACCCAACCATATGGTTCATAAGCCTTTAGACTGGTTTGTGGGAGGAATCTGAAAACATTTGGGGATGCAGGCTAGAAAAAGTTTATAATACTGTAAGAGAGTTTCATGGATGATTCTAGTGGGAGCTCAGAAGACAGGAATGCTGACAGAAACATGAGCAATAAAGACTGTGCTCATGGGGCTCTGATAGGAATAACGACCCTACTGGGAACTGGACTAGAGGCCATTTGCGTTACGTTCTGGCAAAGAACTTGTCTACATTTTGTCCCTGACCTAAGACTTTGTGGGAGGCTAAATATACAAGTGATGGGTTAATTAATCTGAGGGAAGAAATTTCAAGGCAGCCAGCATTCAGGCTGTGACACAGGTATTGCTGACAGCTTTCAGCCAGGTTTACAGTGAGAATGTGGAGCAAAGAGCAGAGCAAAAAGATGCAATTAGGCCAGAAAAGAAGCTCATGTAAAGCCAGGGAAATGGCGGTCGTTAACAAGATCAGTGCCATTAAAAAGAAGCCAAAATCACTTCTCAGCCTTTTGGCTAAGATCAAGTGTAAAAGGAAGCCAAGTACTCAGCTAGGACAACAGGAAATACGTCTTGAGGATACCTCAGAAAGCAGCAAAACCAAACCCATTTCAGAGTCAGGGTAAAAGTGTAAACTCACTTGAAAGACTTTTCCTTGAGAAGAGTGTAGCAGAGGCACCCCACTCACACAGAACCATCTAGGAAGTTGTTTTCCCAGGATTCCTTTCACCATGCTCAGCTACCCAGGCACTCAGAAGCCACTAAAGTTGTGGTCCTAGGGAACCTGGCTACAGCTCAAGCTGGTGACAAATGCTGACATCCACTTGCAGAAGTGCAAGTGTTGTGAAGTCATGAAGGCTTCAACCCAGATTTCAAAGAAAGGCCTGGAAAGCCAGGCTGTGTGATGGGGTCAGAGATACTGAAGGCAGCACCCGAGAGGGCAATTCCTGAAGTTGTGAGAGTAAAGCTGAAGATAAAATGGAGACCACTGGAAGCTGAAGATGCCAGGAACATGGAATATCCAAAGAAAGTTGCAGGCAACAAGCAGCAGCAGCCAAGGAGAGAGGCCATGTGGATTGCAGGGTTAACCAAGGCCTCTGAAACTCACACCATGCTACCATGTGCTCTGCATGCCTTGCATGTAGGTAGTGTTCAGTGCTTGCCCTGCTGGGCTTTTGTCTTGCTTTGGTCCCATCCCTCCCTCCTGTGCCCCATCCTCTGTTTGGAGTGGGAATGTCCTCTGCGCCACTCTATCATGGGTGTACATAACTTGTTTGCAATTTTACAGGTGCTCACAGGTGAAATTTGCCTTAAGTCTCAGAAGACACTTTGGGCTTGAATTTTTGAGCAATTCTGGAACTAGTGAGACTTTAGGAAATGAATCAGTGCATCTTTTCACTGTACACAGAACTGTGTTAGGTAGAATTATGACCTTATGATCGTCAGTATTTGGAGATTAAGTACAGTTTAAGAAAATGCGTTTAGGTGTCAAGTTGACAAGAGGTGAACTCATGGTGGTTAATCTTTTTTGTGGTACTGGGGTTTGAGCTCAGAGCCTTGCACTTGTAGGCAGACACTCTATCCCTTGAGCCACTCCCCCACCCCATCCCTTTCTGCTTTAGCTAATAGGATCTCATTTTCATGCCTGGGTCAGCCTGGACCACAATCCTCCTATTTGTGCTTCCTGGGCAGCTAGGATTACAGGCATGTACCACCATACCCAGTTTTTTATTGGTTGAGATGAGGTCTCTCAACTTTTTGCCCAGTCTGGCCTTAAACCAGGATCCTCCCAATCTCTACCTCCCAGGTAGCTAGGATTACAGGTGTGAGCCACTACACTTAGCAAGATGGCTAATCTTGATTGTCAACTTAATTGAATTGAGAAATGCCTATGATATTAGTACAATACACCTCTGGATATACTTGTGAGGTCATTTCTAGAGAGGATTAACTCAGCAGTGGAGGGAGAACTAACCCTGTATATGAGTAGCACTATCCAATAGGCTTGGGGCCTATATAAAATACAAGGGAAAGGGGGAAGCCCACCAGCTCAAACATGCTCTCTCTCTGTTCCTGGACACCATGAGGTGAGCAACTTTGCTCTGCCCCAGGTTCTTGTTGTCATGATGCTCTGCCTCACCAGAGGTCCATAGCAATGGAGCAAGCTGACTAGGGACTGAAACCTCTGAAACCATGAGCTAAAATACATCTTTCCTCCTTTTAAGTCATTCCCTCAGGTACTTGTCACAGTGATGAAAAATTGACTAATGCACCATCTCAGCACTGAATAAGCTCCTGCAGCAGATACTTTGTAAAGAGCCATATTAAACCTTGAAGTGGCAGCTTAGTCCTTCACAAGTAAAGTAACTCAGGGTTCTCCAACAGCTGTGCCTATACTGTGAAGAGGAGCCTTTTCTCCACCAGAGTTCCAAGGCTGCTGTGGCCAGTACTCTTTCTTGAGCAGCCTCTGCACATCCAGTCCCAGCCAGCCTGCTCCACAGAGGGAGACGGAAATAGCTCCATCTAGCCACAGGTGAGGCCTCTGCTCAGGTGTGTCCCACGGGGTTTGAGCAGCTGTTCACACAGCACATTCCTTCATGCTTTTAATCCCAAACTTTTGTCATTTCTGCCTTTTCCTAATGATTTTCACCCACACTCAAGTACTTACTGGCAATAACCTAAGTAAGGATCATAGTCCCTGAACTCTTTTCTGGTTCCTCAACTCTAAAACAAGCTTCCAAGATCCTGCCTCATGATCTGCACAGCCCTGCACAAGGCTACAGAAGGCAGCTGCCAAAGAGAAATGGCCTTCTCATAGCAAACTTACGGGGGCTTCCATGTGTGTTAAACTAGCAGGACTACTCAATAGAAAACTTGACCGGAGTCAGAAAAATAGTGTAAGCTAAAATATTTCCACTTTTTTAACTAAAGTCAAAGTGCCAGGAAAATAATAATATCCTAAAGATTTCAAACTATTTAGCTATGTCATTTTATCCTTTGGTACTGGCATTTGCTGGAATGGCTTTTGTTTTTTGTTTGTTCTGTTTTTGAGATAGGGTCTTGCTGTGTAGCCCATGCTGGCCTCCAACTCATGATCAGCTTCCCTTAGCCTCCCAAGTACTTATGCACCATCATGCCCAGCACAGAATGGCTTATGTTTAAGAATTACATCTACAATGCCAACAAACATCCATTTTTCTATGTCTGCTAATTTTTTAAATGAAATATACTGTTGTGCTCAATTCAAGATTCAACCTTGGCAAAGCTATCTCAGCAATTTAAGGAAGGACAAGATCAACAGGCTGCATTTTTCACCTTTATTAAATTCCTTCTTGCCTGTTAGTCAACTTCCTTCAGGTTGTGAAACATGTAGCCTGAAACTAATTGCCATTTTAGTTTATTATTATCTAGACAAAATATGGCAAAACTAAGATCTCAACTTTATGTGGTGCTCCAACTGACTCAGATCTAAGAATGGAACTCCTTCTTATCCTGCTCTGCTTGCTCAGTATTAAAACATGTACACAATCTATTGGTTTTGGAAACCTCTATCATAGTCACAAATTTTCAGAACTCCTTTAAATGAGGAGACAGTATGAAACTCAGGTTCTCAGACAGGCAGTGTGACCTCTGAAGGCGGCAGTGCTTGCTGATATACCTGAGCTGGGAGAAGTGTGTGAGACACAGACAGCTGCGTGCCACCAACAAGACACAGTACATATCCAACACACACTTGCTGCTCTTGTTAGCACTAGTATTATTATTTAAAAATAACAATATATAAAAGCCCAAAATTTTACAAGTGGAAGACAGATCTAATTTTATAGAAGAGAAAATAATTTAACCAAAATATAAAAAGACTTTAAGGAAATATTATAGTCTCTCCCAATATTAAAATAAAATATAACTGGCTATTTCTAAAATATCAATAAAAATATTCAAATTAATTATAAATACTCCTGATTGAATACACCCACCATAAGTCATTATCTGTACAATATTTTCCCCAAGTTCTTATTATGAGCCTTTATGTTTTGGAGAGGGCTTTTAAATATAAAAGTTAAAAGGCAGCAAATGAATGATCTACATGTTAAGTGGTTATAAAATCCAAGGATTCACCTACCTTCCAACCACCCAGAATACATACATTTAAAAATACAATCTCTTGAGGATTAAGGGAGAAAATTTAAGACCTGCTACTCATTACGAGCAAAAGGCAGCAGGCCAATGCCACTTTTGGGACACAGCTGTGACTGCTGGAGCCTATCCAAGAAGCCCTACCTTTTTCTCCCTCCCGCTGTCAGCCTGCACGGTTTCCAGGCGGGCTTTGAAGTGCTCGCAGTCCAATTTCAGCTGCTCTAATTCTTGTTCTTTCCTTTCTAGGTCTAGAAAGAGACATAAAAATACTCAAGACGCATCACATCATGAATCCCTCCTCAGCATCTATCTGTCCCATCTTCCCTGTCACTGATTTCTTAGATCAGAGTATTCCCACTCTGATTTCCAACAGGTCCCTGAATAAAATACTCTTCAAGTCCTGTTTTTAAGTTCTTATCAGTTTTTAGCCCATAGCAGAAAGGGCCTCTTTTGTTTTTGAGAGGTTTTTGCTGGTGTAGTACTGGGGTAGAACCTAGGGCCTTATGCATGCTAAGCATACAACCTACCACTGAGCTATACCCTCAACCCTAAAGAATTTCTTTCATAGTTTCATTTTGTGATTTTTTTTAAGGCCCTGCTTTACCGCCAGACATGTACTCAAGGCTTCAAGACAGTGTGTTATTTAAAGGAGTGAGGCAGAGCTGAGAAGCCAGACTGTCTCATGGCACCATAAGCAGAAGGCAGCTTAGTGAGGAGCTGGTGCCAGCATGGGCTGATTCACAAAGCGCATCCCACCAACTGGCATCCTGACTCAATGGGAACAACTGCAGTAGTAGTCAATGGAGAAGGGAAGCAACAGAGATCAAGATGAGAAAACGCTATGGTGAGGGGGCAGGAACCACGTAACACTTCCTCTCCACCATGCTAATTTAGTTGATGAGTCAAATGGCCAACGAAAATCCCAAAAGACACCCACATCAATAAATCAACAAAAAAGCATTACCAACTTTAAATATTATCATGCTGCAGAAATACTGATGTTCAAAAAAAAATCAAATATATACTTAAAAATTTTAAGTGCTTGATCTCAAGAGCTGAGAAATCATCTGTTTATTATGCCAACATATATCAAGACGTGAGGAGATGTGCAAGCTGGTGGTATAAGTTCTCTGACTAAAGCAGCAATGCTTCAGGACAGTGATTCTAACATTAGTGACCACCAGAATCACATGGAGAAACTGGCTCCATCAATGGAGTTTTTGGTTCAGTGGATCTGGGGTGGACCTGGGAACTTGCATTTCTAACAGGTTCCCAGATGAGGCTGCTGCTTGTCTGACAAGCAGTTGTCCTAAAGTAGTTGGAGAGCAACTACTTTAGGATAATAGCTTTATCTCATCACTAACAAAACAAAATAAACACAGAGCATACAACCAACACCAGAAAGCAAGGCAACTTGGCCAAGTAACACGACAGGCAAAAATGGAGGGTGGTAAAAGACCCCCTGCAATAAACATGACTTTTAGTGGACTCCTTTTTGTCCCATTAATCCTGACCACCCAAGAAATCAAAAGAGCATTATCCCTCAGAAGGTACATTTTTGCAGGTATGTAACAATATCAAATGAAAAGACAGTAATCATGCATACTCACATCTGCATTGTAATCACATAGGAAGTATGCATCAGAGTCACAAGGAAAAAGAAATCCAATGAATAAAGGAACTAAGGTAAAATTATCAGTGGTTTAAATTTTTCTCTTTGCAATCAATTCTTAAAGTTCTCTTCTACTAGTAAATTACATGCCAATTGAATATTGAAAAAAGATAGGATGTTATATCTTCACAAGTCCTATAAAATCTGTAGGAATTTTGACCACCTAAAGCATTTTCATTATGGAAACTTCATGGTCTCTTGCTCCATATAGCTACATGTGACCTTACTGTAGGTTAACATACCAAAGCAACAGGCTTAAAACAGCACACTCCTCAGCATGCAACCCCATAAAATTACAGGTCAGCGGTGAGGTGGCCACACCCATTCACCAGGCAGGTACCTTTTTGCTGTGTTAGGCTGCCGCCTTGTGGCCAGATGACAGCACTGCTGCCACCACCTAACTACTTCACATTCTCAACCTGGCCCACTGCTTGCCATCATGAACGAGGGCAAGGATTTTCATTGGCTTTGTTTTATGCTATACTCCAAGTGCCTAGAAAAGCCTATGGAGCACAGCAGACACTACCTATATATTTGTCACATGAATGAATTTCACTTCTTTATATATTCCTCCTCTTTATCCTTGAACAGAGAAAAACATGACTATTATCTATACATCTCCTTCTTCCATAATGAAAATGTATTGCTTTTGCAATTTTTTAAAAACCCAAGGACAGACATAATATGGAGTGTGAATAACACATTACCTGCAGTCAAGGTATTCTCTTACCCAGCTTCAGTATTAAAATAGGGAAGAAGCTGCCAATCAGGCTAGGTTGCATTTCAACTACTAACCCAGCATTCACAACGGAGACAAAATCTCCAGCTAGCTATCTAAACTGGGTGAAGGGTGGCAAAGCTGGACAGACTGGTGCGCACAGAAACCACCTAACCAACAGGCCACTTCAACATCAATGTATCTTTTGAAGGTATCACTGATATCCCTTTTTTCTATTGTTTTGTTTGTTTTTTTGGGGTACGAGGTCTCATTAAGTTGCAATACTGCCACCTTTGCCTCTGGCATTGTGGAACTACAGGCTTGTCCCCACTGCATCCAACTTTTAATGTGAGAATGATAGTTTCTCTTAATACTCACCCTATGCACAGGGAGGGCACAGAGAAAAAGCAGGAGCCAAGTGTGGTGATGTACACCTACAATCCCAGCTACTCAGGAGGCAGAGGCAGAAAGATCATTAGTTTGAGGTCAGCCTAAGCAAAGTCAGAGATCTCAAAAACAAAATAAAATCAAAATGGCTTGGGCACAGCTCAAGTGTAGGGCACTTGCCTACCAAGTGTTAGGCCCTGGGTTCAATCCCCACACTGAAAAAAAAGAAAAAGAAAAACAGGATTTCCAAAAAATTAAGCAAAGAAATTAAGACCATACAAAAAGGATGAATTTCTCCTACCCTTTTTTTATTACCTGGCATGCTTATAACAAATCATCAATTATATTAATATGAAATTATTTGGTTTTGATCAAAATAGGTGTTTCAAAACAAAAGTAAAGGCTTTTAAATAACCATTTATTATTACCTTTTATCACTCTCTGACTAGTTCAAAGAGAATATAAGTATGCTACTGATAGGTTCCATTTTTACTCTGAGTGGAGATTCGGGTAATGTATTTTCTGGGGCATGGCAACAAAGTACCTTAAGCTGGATGACTTAGAACAACAGAAACACACCACCTCACAGGAATACAGGCTACAAAGCCAAAACCAAGATGTCAGCAAGACCACACTCCCTCTAAAACCTGAACAGGAAGGAACTTCCCTTGCTTCTTCTTCCTTCTTATAGCCCAACACTCCTGTTTGTGGCAGCATCTTTCCAGTCCCTGCCTCCATCTCCACATGGCCTACCCACAATTTCACACGGTCTCCTGCCTTCATGTGGCCTCCCTGTGCCTTTGCACATTTTCCTTCCACCTCTGTGAGTTTTCAGTGTTGTTAAACCATTTTTCCTTTACCTCCACATGGCCTCCCTCTATCTTCAGGCCACCTCTACAGAACCTGTTTTTTTCATCTTTATTAGCATGTATTGGTTGTACAGGGGGTTTCATTGTAACCTTTACATATGTGCTTGTAATATATCTTCATTAGATTCAACTCCCTCCATCATTCTCTCTCATTCCCACCTCCCCCCCACCCTTTTTTTGTTAGTAGTACCAGGGTTTGAACTCAGACTTACTAGGCAGATGCTCTGCAACTTGAGCCACTCCACCAGCCCTTTTTTGTGTTGGATATTTTCAAGATAGGGTCTTGTGAACTATTTGCCCAGGCTGGCTTCAAACTGTGATCCTCCAGATCTCTGCCTCCTGAGTAGCTAGGATTACAGAAGTGAGCCACGGAGAAGTGAGCCACCAGCACCCGTCATTCCCCACTTCTTAAAACAATTTCAATAAGGTTTCATCATTCTCATTCATACAAGTATACAAAGTACATCAACCATATTCACCCTCCTTTACCCTCTCCATTCATCCCCCCACTGGTACCCACCACCAAACAGGACCCATTATACATTCCCATCCTTCATTTTTTAAGCGTGCATTAGTTGTTCAAAGGGGTTTTGCCATGGCATTACACATATGCATACATTGTACTTCAACTGTACTGTCACTCAACAGCTTTCAAGTGCATGGTTCTGCCATCTTCATACACAGACTCTAACATTCTCCTGTCCTCTTCCACCCCCCCATCCCCCAAAACAGTCTATTACAATCATGTTATATATATGTTACACAGCATCAGGTCTGTATTTATGTATACATTTATCTTCCAGGTCTAGCTTCCACATATGAAGGAAAACATATAAACTTTGTCCTGAATCTGGCTTATTTCACTTAACATAATGATGTCTAGAGCCCCCTATTTACTTGCAAACAACATAACTTCATTGTTCAAGGCTACAAAAACACTCCATTGTATATGTGTGTGTGTGTGTGTGCACACACACAATGACCCAAGCCTTGTATGCACATATGAATAAAATAAAAATAAACACACACACATATATATGATATATATGATATATCATATATATCTATATAAAATCACATTTTTTAATCCATTCATGATGTAGGGCATCTGAGCTGTCTCCACAACTTACACAGCCTGTGTCTTCACGCCATTCTCCCTCCACATCCATATGGCCTCCCTGTATCTTCACAGTCCAAACTTCCCCTTTATATAAGAATAGATCATATTGGACTGGAGCCCATCATAATGGCTTCATTTAATGTCATTAAGACCCTACTTTCAAACAAAGTCCTGTTCTGGGGAACTGGGGACTAGACTTCAAACTACCTTTTTCTCAAGTAGGTGGGGCAGCAGATATTCAACAGGTAGTACTGCAGGACTTTCCCAGGGTTTCATCAGTTCCCTACCAACAGGACCATCAGCCTTTTGTAGGCCTTGTAAAACTGTTCAAGTTAAGAGGCAGTCCTTCCTCAATAGTTTTCCAAACATACAGCCATCTCCAGGATGATTCTGCATCCTTCAAGGTCCCCCAAAATGAGGAGAGGTAAGAGTGGTTGGAGAGCTCCCAAACTGAACACCCAGACATGTGCCCACCATCAACC